ACAGCACACTTTATCATGAAAATGAGCGAGGAATAGAAGATGGTTGTTCAAGGAGAATAACTTTGTTTTGCGCTTGTTTTAACTCTCTAGCCGGTATCGTAAGTAAAAAGGACAATTCCTCTGTTGTGTTGGCAAGATCTGCTTTATGACCAAAGTGTTTGTGACAATAAAGTCCTGACATAACCAATACTTACCCTTTTTGTAAACCTGTTTGTTCATAATTCTGAGACATTTTTGTTAGATTTGTTGCAGGCTGTCTGTGTTTTGGATCTCATGATGAATGAAGCCATGGATACCAGACGCACGGGAGGAGACGCACGGAGGGTAAAATTAGCTGACAGCTGAAAGGACATATTGACTTCTCTCACAGGCCACAAAGGCTAACTCCAAGAGTGCATGTTAGAAAGACAGAGTAGGCAAAAAGTAAAGAGCGTTGCACGAAGGCCATGATATTTCAGTAAGCGTCCTCTCAGCTTGGAGTGAAGAGTTTCAGATCAAAGTGCTCACCTCATCAACCTTGCTTGTTCTCACACAGGATGCCTGACATGTCGCTACAATCTACAGGTTATGCTCACTTCACTGCACTTTCCTGTGAGCCTGCACAAACAGCAAACGTGTGCAGCGGGGTTTGCGCAAGCACACAGGCAAATGGGAGTCATTTGTCTCAAGCACAAGTACATACACATGCTCTCACATCTACTCGGTCTATGCGCATAGTTCAGGCTGTCAGTGGGGGGCAACCTGTGACATGTCATGGGAGAGAAGTCAAAGCACATTCAAGTATTCAGACGTTTCTCAATAGTAAGCAAGATTTACTTTCTTGGCCAGAGGTGAATGGACTATAATAGTGTGGTTACATAAGCAGATTTGGCAGAACATCTGCCCAATTGTTTTGTTTTTTTCACATTATCTGGCTGTGTTTTCCCGAAATGAAACTTTTCTTTTTTTTCTCAGCATATGCAAATGTTTATAGAAACCCTTATTAGGGTACGTTTTCTAAAAATGAAACAGAAAAAAAGTCTCACATTTCTGGGGTCATTGATTCGCATGATTGTAAATGATAAATGGGCTGATAGTTATATAGGGTTTTTTTACTCTGAGCACTCAATGCACTTTTGTTTCTAAACTTGTCTAAAGCTCACACGTTTACACTCACAGGATGTTCAGGATGTTGCCCAAGGATTCTTCGATTTGCTCCAATCTGTCCTGACCTTCCAATTGGTGAACGCCGCGCTCTACCTCTGATGGCTATAGTGGTCGATAGTGGTTTGTATATAATGCACACACATGTCTACCTGCTATGTGTTATTCACACCTGTCCAGCATCCAGTAACTTTGAGTTGCAGCATAGTCTTCTGTAGCCCATCTGTCTGGTTTGGGAGGTCTCACTGTAGGGGTCCATCTGCTCTCTTCGTGAGTCGTATCTTACTGTACTCTCAAAGAATAAGGTAAGATGGAACAGTTAAGGTTTTTCTCTGAAGTTGTGAAGGCAGGTGTCCTCCAGAGTTTTTGTTTTTTTGAAGCCTTGAAAATGTCACATGTCTCATAAATGTCTAAATACAGTTTACATACTTATCCCTACTTCACATACATACACACTGTTTATTCCTCGCCTACTGTGCCGAATCTCCTGATCTCTAGTCTCATCAGCATAACACTTACAGAACAAATGTTTAAACATACTCGTTTAAAAGGGGTCTGTATGCTGTTGATGATAAGTAGGAAAAATGCAAGTCTGTCACATGCCACTAGATTGTTAAACATTCCTCTACCATTATTCACCTTTAAAAAGAGACCATGTGGTGCAAGGGGGCTGAAGTATGGATGGCTGAACGTATTATGGTGGGGTTGCCAGTTTCCATAGATCAGACTGGTTTGAGAACGTACAGGCAGCTAGCCCCAGTAGGGAATCCTCCAGTGGTCCATTGAGGCTCTGTGAGGCTGAGGGCCTGCTGGCTCAGCCTTTTGTCTGGTTTTCTCTATGTCCTCCAGAAAGTCACGAGCCCGGTGCCTCCTTACCACCATATGGACCACCTCAATGGGCTGTCGACAAAGTCTTTAGCAATAGATGTTGAATCAATGGGAAACAATGCTCTGGACAATGGCTTTATTACCACTGGTAAGATCTTCTAAAAGCGCAAAAAGAGAGGTTTTCTGCTTCATTTTATCCAAACTAATAAAAGATCCACTCAAATAAAATTGCACAATTTCACTATTTTCTTCTAAGCATAATCCTCATGTTTGTTCCATCTCTTCTTCACTGTGTAAAGAGCTTCCTCCCTTCGTCTGCTAATTAATTCTCTCTGTTTTCTTGCTTCAAATCGTAAACAATCAGTGTCGATATTTATCATTTATATCGTCATCCAAAATAGTTTGAGAACCGCACAAAATTCTAAGTGCGTCACAGTGCTGTCATGAACAAAACTACTTACATTTTTCTTTTTCGCAACAAACAAAACATGATTCTGCAGTACAAAAAAGAAATAAATGTAACTGTCGCCAAGACACCAGACATGACTTTCCTATTATTAAGTAACAATAGAATGGGTTTTGCATTGCTGAGATAGAGTAGATGTGTTTTTTTTCCCTCTAGAATAACAAAAGAAAAGCTCAATTGACATTAAATGGATGAAGTAAATGTCAGTTGTGCTAGTTTTTATAGTTTCAGCTGTGAATTTATGCCAGAAAAGGGCACATGAGCCACAGCTGGTGTGGAGCAACTTGGTGGTGGATCCATAGTTTGACACCTGGTGGTGTCCGGCCGCGAGAACAAAAATCCGTCAGCTGCTTGTGTGATGTTCCCCAGGAGGAGCAGAGAAACAGCTCAGGGACCCATTAGCGTTCAGGGTAACGCTGCCGGTTCTGCTTTTTTGAAGTCGAGAGTGATGATATATGGTTTCATGAGGTCACGGTTTTGTAAATTGAAGAAATGTGGCTTAATTCTTTTTCTCTTTAAGCAGGTTTTTTTGATGGGTCAAAGAGATTTGTGACTCACTCTCACAAAATGCGATAAAGATAAGTCACCAAAGTTTTAGCTTTTGTCTGACCTGTTAAAGAGATCAGTGTGTATTTTGTTCCTTTTATTGTAGTTTCTCAACTCTGCGTACGTTGGAGTCATTGAACTACAAACTTGTATATAGACTCATTTGTCCAGCTAACTGTTACTGTGTTGCAACTGTACATAGACACACATTAAATACCAGGGCAGTTACACAGACCCAGATACACTTTTTCTCACAATCGAAAGCTCCTGCAGTTTACTTTGTCACCAAAACTGAAAACCACAACACAAACAATATGCCCTGTGCTTCAGCCCCAGCCACATGTTTAATTCTTGACAAAGACACTGACACATGTTCCCTTATTTAGCCCCCTTGTTTTTCCCCCTTCATTTCTTTTTATCCTCTTTGGCTCCTTCATTAGTCAGTGTATCCTCACAAAGCTGATGTTTTTGGCTCGTCCTTAAACTTGATCCATTTCTGTGATAAAAATGGCTTAGAGGACACATGGAGTCAGTTAATATTTCATTATTCATCCATTCCTGTGTGTTATACAGCACAAGTGTTGCTGACTACACTGATTCTGTCTGTCATCAAGCAGCCATAGGTCTCCGTACTCTAAGGTTTCTGAGAGATGCTGAAAGAGTTGAATAAGTGTCAGAAAGAGCAAAAAGTCAGTCTAGCCTGATCTGTAAAGTAGTCTAGCATAGGCTGAAACTGAGTGAACACAAAGGTGGCTGCTTAACTACAATAAAAAGACCAAAGCATTGATCTAAAAATATGTGTGATGCATTGTCTTAAAGTAACACAAGATGCAGTTGTACTTGTTTGAGTTTTTGCAGCTTATATTTCATTACCACAGTTGTGTATGCCAAGCTATAAGTTTACAAATCACTGCTTTTCCCTTTATTACTGTTCATTCTGCAAAAAAGTAATCATGTTTATCCTAAATATGCAACAGCGCTACAATGCTAATCCTTGAAATGTCCAGGGCTGAAAAAGCATTCAGCTCCCTAAAGTTAGCAGATTTTTCATTCTACTCTGACAGTATGATCTAAAACTATCCACTTCCCCACGGCTCCCAGAGAGATGCTTTTACATGTTTGGACTTCATATCAGAAATTCATCAGGAGCTAATGAGAAGACTGAGAAACATGATATTGGCTGAACAAAGAAAACACAATTTTGTCTACCTGCCAAGCAAACCTGCACATCGTCCAGGCTGAAAATAATTACCTGTGGAACAACCTGCAGCCTCCAGTCTCCCGTGCATGATTTTAATTTGGTAAGTGCACTGGACATATCACATTTCCTGCACTACAATTATCGAGGAATCGTAGCATAGTTTTAAAGAAAGTACTTTCCCCCCTTTCCTTTCGCCACTTCTTCTTGGACAACCCCCCAAGGTACTTCTATTGTCAGTCCTCTGCTGAGCTGTAACACTGCAGCTGCTGTCTCTTTACTGCTTTTGCATGCACAGGTCACTATATAAAACACTTAAGCAGCATTTAAAGGGAGAGTTAAGGCTACAGCTGTCAGTCAAAACGACAGAGCAGCTTAACATAACTGTCACTTTTATGTGTTCTCTGTGTAACTTAGGAGGCTATAATAGTGAGCAGCCATGGAGCTCTGTGTTCTCGGGCTCGGGGCTGTAGCTGCAATCAAAAACCTATTAATCAGACTGAGGAAATGGAACCAGCAGAGAAGCGAAGACAGAGTATCTTGTCCTATTTCACATGGACAAATACGAGATATTGTTACATGTTATTCATCCTGCTTGGCGGCTTTGAAGTAATCCACCAGCCGGGAAATGGAAGGTGATTTTTCATGAAGGCATAAATGAACATGAAGGGGATTAGGTGTCCGCTTGCATGTGCATGGACATATAATCACATGGGTATAAATAAAAAGGCACAAAACGACACACGAATGTATGTAACAATATTAAAAATAGATTGTGTGCAATGTTAGGATGTAGACAGAGCCGTGGAGTTCTAAACGTTCCTGGATAATTGTGATTATGTGTGCGACGTGTTTGACATGCTGGTTGTTTGGCCTGAAGGTATTTGCCTCTGCTACTCTGGTATTCTTAATAGGCCGTGTGCCTCCTGTGGGCTCACTAACAGCAGCGTGCATACGTCACAAATGTTCTCTGAGTAGGTGGCAGATGAATACCGGATGCAAATGATAAGAATGGTAGAAAAGGTAACCGAGAAGCACGGTCAACAACAGGTAACAAGAGAGAGGAGCAGAGGAGGGGAACAGATGATGCAGAGGAAAGACAAAGTAACAAGAGGTGCAGGAGAAAAATGAGCAGCCAGCTGAAGCCCCGTTTTCCAGAGCTGGCTTTTATTAGTGAATGTTACCACGCTCTGTTCCTCATTAACTCACCACAGCGTGGAGGTGCAGCAGAGGAAGAGTGGACTCTTTCCTGCAGGTTAGGCAATGCAGACTGAGTCTAAATCCATCCTCGGGACATCTCTCCACAAAACTAAGGTTACCATAACTCAAAAACAGCTTCTGATCTGATTGGTATTTCCTCACTGGGATTCACACCCGTTACTTGTGTAAAATATGAAATGTGCTATCTTAATCAGTGAGGCAAAGCTAAAGGAATGACAAGTCCAGAAATCTTTATTTTTAGCTGCCTCTTGTCATCGGTGAGTGCTTTAGAGAAATTGTGCCATATAATTTTTAGGAATTTCAACCTTTTCAGCAACTATAGATGCACACGTTAATGCTGTACTTTATCTGTTATCATTTCTCTTTACAGCTAAACTCTTGGCCATGGCTGTCTGCGAGTGCTTTTGGTATAATACAATGCTTAGACAAAATTATACAATTGAACTGCATTTGTTAGGTCTGCATTTTACAGTACAGTTCTGATGTAATGTTTTGAAAATTACGTTCTAAGAAAGTCTAACGAGCTTCTAATGATGGAAAATCAGCATCCTGGCTGCTTTCCTGGGCTACTATTAGGCTAATATTACCCCACTGGGATTGAATTGTGACAGGTCTTAACCTGTATGGGAGTACAAGCATGAAGGAAGTATCGCCTACACACTCCACAGCACTCTGAACAAAACCCACTCTGCAGAGGGTATGCACAATATTTTCTTATGTGCTTTGACTTTAGTTTTCTATCTAATAAGCAACAAATGTCTAAGAAAATGAAAAATATGCAGGATTCTTGTTATCTGAGCTCAGTGTTTTACCAAATTACTTTGGATTTAGGGCTAAATCCAAAGTAATTTGGTAAAATACTGGTTAAGTGTGGTTATTTGGGCTATAAAGAAATTATACATGGCTTTGAATTAGACCATTATTAAGGTGCAAGGTGTCTAATTAGGGTATTGTGGTTGTTTACAGTCTAATAAATAATGTTATTTCTTGATGCAAATTATGGCTTTTTATGTTTTATTAGTGCACCATATAGTAAATACAAATTTCTGTATGTTTAAACAGGAATTTTAATGGGAACAGCAAATATCCCAGCTTATGTTTCTCTCTCTTATACCTGCTATGCAATTGTCGTGAGAATCCCTACTGTGAAAGCTTGTAGCGCCGCAAGAAGACTACAAGTGGAAATCACAAATATTTATATTCCAAAAATCTTGTCCATAAACTACAAATTCTGCATATTTATGAAGCTACATCATTTCAATCTCAAAATCTCCCACTTTCATTTTATGAGCATGAAAAACTCCAGATGTTTTGGAACCAAATAGATTATGTCATTATTTTATTTTTTCCGCAAGATATTCCAGTAAATGAAAGCAAAATGAAAGTGATTAATTTTTGTTTATTGTAGCCCAACATGCTATTGTCATGAAGTGGAAGGAAATCCAAAATCCTGCAAGCAGAAGACATCGAAGGGATGTCTTTAATAGGATTTACACATATATACTTAGAGTATGATCATTTTTTTTATGCATTTCCTAATGGACTTTTCAGAGTAGGTCAAAAATTTAGGTCAGGATTACTCAGCATCTTTTGTGTGAAAGTGCGGTAGCATATTCAGTTTTTTCTTCTTAATAATAAAAAATCATCACTATGATTTATCTAATGTAAGTGTTTTATCAGATAACATATGTCATATCTTCTAAAAAACAACAACAACAACAACCATAAAAACACAATTGCATAAGGAGGGCTGTCTTACAAAGCTGCAAAAGCATCACATACATGTAATCTGATTATGGGGTCTTTTAAGTAGGCACATCAGCTGTTACAAGTGCTCTTTTCGGGTTTCTCAACATGTGGTCTGAGCACCTCTGCAAGCCTGACTGTTGTTTTTTGCTTTCAAAAGTCATAAAGTGCTCGCCTGTTACACACATGCATTAAAGAATCGGTGTTCAGGCAGGTGTTGCTAAACACTGCGTATAACAGAAAACTTTCATTGGGAGTTAATTTGTTTCTGCAGCAGGAACAGCAACAGGATTACACACTCTGAAGATCCCTCACCACTCCTGAATGAAAACAAAAAAAGGCTATAGGGTGTCAGTGAAATAAGATGCCAGCACCATACAAAGGAACAAATGACAGATGAAAAATATAGTCCAATTTAAGCTTGTGACTTGCCAAACCCGCAGCGGGACGTCCCAAAAAGCTCTAACGTCTCTGTTGTTCCTCTCTAGGCTATTTTTTCACGGTGAGGGAAAAAAGACCAATATTGTGTGGTTTACATGGCTTAGCAGCTTGTTCACAAATATACCTCTTCTCTTCTCCCCCTTTCCTCTCTTTTCCTCATCCATCTTCTCTAAATTGTTCTGCAGCGACAATGACTTCACACTCCTGTAAAAGCCTTTTGACTGCACAGAACCGAGCGATGGTTTTTCTCATTGCACAAATAGTCCATCTGTTAAAAGGTCCACGCATTTGAGGACTATGTGAGCGTATGAAGTGGAACCAAGAGAGGCTTTTTTAAAATTCTAATCGAATTCACAACAATTATGCGAGTCTGGAATTAGAATTAGCTTACAACTGAGATAGACTTTCGTGTTTTTCTGCCCTCTTTGTGAAGTTACTTCTATTAGCGTGTTTTCCCGGTTTTGCTGTATGACAACTGCATAAACACAGAACGGTTCAATCATGTAGCACTGCCAAAGCTATTGTTAGCTGCACAAACTGATGGAAAAAAAAGAGAACAGAGCCGTTCCCACACAGATTTTAAGTATCTATTGTAGAGTATCTGTTTATGTCACAACATCCACTCTGTTTGTTTAAAAAACAATGAGAAAAGCCTTCGACGGAAACAAAAAATGTTTTGTCATTATGAGTTTTTATTTATTTAATATAAACTGATTTATATTTGTGTGCACAGAGGTTCCCAGTGGCTTTGTTTCTGTACCCTAACAAGTCTCTGTTAACCCCAGACTCTTCAGACAAAAGCAGCTTTGTGTCTGAGCGCTGTATGTGCAGTGAAAAGGTTTTCGGGAGGTGAATGTGAAATAAGGTTCTCCCCTTTCTTCTTTTTCGACTTGGTCTTTCACTTCCTTACTTTACAAATGTATGGGTGCCATTACCAGGGAATCAAGGCCATTCAGGAGGTGCACAGCGGTCCAAAAGCAGTGATAATCCACTGTTCAGATGTTGGCTGGCCGTTGAAATGCGAGCCCACTTTGACTGAAACTGTATGTCTTTCTTTCTGTGTGCTGCTGTGGCAGCTATTCAGCAGCTGTGGCTTTCCCTCGAATCCAATTAAAGAGGACACAGAGAATAAAAATACAGAGACCAATCAGAAGAGAAAGAAACCTCTGCTTAGCCTCCATCTCACACCACTTTAGAGAGCTTGTACTCTTTGGGGTTTTTTTGGTCATAACACTCAGTAATGATCATATAAGCATGAGCCACTTTTGCCTTTATTATGTGGCAATGACAGAGAGCAACATGACTTACAAACACACTCAGGTACAAAAGCTGAGACTTGGAGCTATATGGCTCTAATTCTGGGGGTTTTCTGCAAATCTTAACTGCGCTTTAAAAGCGTGGGCCAGCAAACATGTGAAGGGTTTACTACAAGGCACCCTGCTGTGAATATACATGCATTAAAATGTCTGCTTTCCAGACCTCCCTAGCAATCACAGCAGGCCTCAACATTTAAATAATAATTAGGAATGGGAGCAGCATTTGGTTTGTTTCAATGGACAAGCCAAACTTGCATCATTAACATGTGGCAATTTAAAAAATTGCAGGTTAGAATTTAGTACCTAAATACAACCCTCTGTGCTAAACTGTCTCCTTGATGCATGACTTCCTTTCTATATTTTACTGTGATCCTTTCAACCTGCTGCTTTTCCTCTCCTCGTGCTAAATCACTCTTATCAGAGGCTGGTTAGCAGGTCTGTGTCGTGCTGTGATTTTGATAAGAGATGTCTTCTTCCCAGGCCTCCAATAGACCACCATAAAGTGAGCCTTTATTGACTACCTGCTGTCTGTTGGCCTGGCCAGACCTGGGGACCCACAGGGGGCTTCTGGTTAGTAAGAAGCTATCTTAAACCTTATAAAAATCTGATAACATGAGAGGAAATTAAGGCTAGAGGAAGAGGGGGTAGAACCGACTTTTTTTCTGTCGAATTTTAACACATATAGTAGTTGTAAAAGGATTAAACAGAGATAAAAGAAGCTTTTGAACTGTGGTGCAGGCCTGTGACTCTATATGTGACCAAATGAAATAACACAGAGCTACATGGGTGAATGGTTAATTATCTGCTGTGTTTCTTAGCAAGTAGAGACTGGTTGTTAAATGGGATCTCTGGTGTTTGCAACACTGTAATGATTGAGTGTGTTAATTAAACCTGAAATTATAATGTGAACATTTGTGTTTGGGTAATCTCCTTGTACTCATTATTGCTAAGAGTCAAATGAGAAGACCTGCTATCCGTCAACTATGATCCTGCAGCCAGCAGCAAGTTGGCTTGACTAAAGGACTGGAAGCAGCAGAAAAGAGCAGCTCTGACTCTGTCCAAAAGTAACATAGTTCACCTTTATACACCTCGGTAGCTGCCTAATTTTATGTTTGTTTAATCATCTTCTTTCTTTTTTCTTTTGGCTTCTCCATTTAGAAATGGCCAAAGCAGATCATCTGTCTCCGTCTCACCCTATCGCTTGCATCCTCCTCTGTCACACCAATCCTCTGCATGTCCTCCTTCAATGCATCCATGAATTATCCATGTGGTCTTTCTCTTTTCCTCCTGCCTGACAGCTACAGATTCAACACCCTTTGTTTAATACATACACGATCCCGTCTCTGCATATATCCAAACCGCCCCAGCCGTTCCTCTCTGATTTTGGCTCCAACCTGAGCAACCTGAGCTGTTCCTCAGCCACATCTCCTTTTTGTTAGTGTCACAATCGCCAAAGCATACATCATAGCAGGGCTCACTACCACCTTGTAAACCTTTCCTTTCATTCACTTGCTGCTATCCTTCTGCCACACATCTCCCTTGACACTCATCTCCCCCCACTCCACCCCGTCTGCACTCTTTTCTTCACCTCGCTTGTGCAATGCCCGTCGTTTTGGATGGTTGATCCCAGGTATTTACGTCAGGTATCTACTCCTTTCACCTCTCATTTACACACAGGCTTCTGCTGACTTTCACTCATGACGCCACCTCTCCAGACTCTCTTTTACCGGATCTCTTTTCACACTGCAGGTCACAATGTTGTCTGTTTAAATCAGATAAAAAATTAAAAACAAACTTAATTTTGCTGGGGGCCATGGATCAGTAAATCCCTAGTTGACTGTTTCTACTTATTACAAAAAGCTTCTGGCTGTAGCTTTATATTTCTACAGATAAATTTTCATTTGGCTCTTGATGTGGAGCTATTACTTTATATTGTAAGTATACGGGACATACAATGGAGAATGGAGTCATAGTTCCATTCATAATCTTACCATAATTACCAAATCCCTCTTTCATCAGAATAGGCATAAAAATCATTTTGATAAAGGCATGACGGCTTCTTCTGTAAGAAATTAGGAAACTTCCTTTATTCTGGTTCCATGTTTGCGGTCGAGACTCTACTTGGCAGTTTCTGCTGTTCTGAAATATTAAGTGTCCCATCCATGCATTTCATTTCTAGGTTTTAAACTCTATTTCGATTGGCATGTCTGTCGGGCGTCTGCCACAGGGCTCTAGTATGATATGTTAGTGATACTCCCTGAGGGTAAATAGTTCATATTTGCGCAGCTGGACCAGGCTGCTTAGAAAGACATAGAAGACAACTAAACAATGTTAATTTAGACCCTATTAACGTTCTACTTCAGTTCGCGTTGAGGGAGATAGTTTCGACTCCTAACAAACACAGAGGGCAGCATTTGTTTCTTATTGAGGTGATCTTTCCTCCATGAAATCAGAATCTCCACGCTGGACTCGGCCACACATTTTTTTAGGATGAAAAAAAAAACAATGCTCGAACTTCAGTTTGTTCTTTCACGCTCAAATATTTGCCCACATGTCAAGCTGTGAGTGGTTAAGCATCTGAGGCAGGACTGTTTTTGTCTGCATGTGTTATGATATTGTGGAAGAGGTAATTATTTTTCCCTTTAATTGAATCTGTCTGTGGCTTAATGGAGTGATCCTGTTGGATTAGGCTGGTTTCCTGTCCCACCTTGTTCTCTCAGTTACATGCACTCCACTCAAGTGGTTAATGCTTATACTGTAAACGAGGTTCTTTAAGACAAATGCCATCAAAATGTAGCCTTCACACAGATAAAGATTGAGGCTGGAATCAGACATATAAACCTAGCTCATTGCTTAGTGATGCTGGTTAAATGGGCTCTGCAGGAGACCAAAACTTTGGTTTCTGTACATAAGTAACTATGTTCTTCTAGTGGTAGTTTAAACCAAACACTTGTGTCACCTAGATAGATGTGTGTGTATGCGTGTGTGTGTCTGTGTGTGTCTCAGGAACAAATGCTTGCTGTGAATTTATCTGTCTGGCTTTCGTTTAGGCTGTGGTCATGGATTCCTAAGGGAAGCATCCCAAACACAGGGTCAATTTGTGGAACAAATCTTCTGTTTTTCACCTAAAACAGAATTGTTTGTTTCTCTTTGCATGTGGCCTCCGCCAAGCGTGGGCGATGATCTACATCAAGAGTTCCAACTTAAAAAGGCAAAAAAGGGTGGAAACAGTTGCTCATCACATGAATAAACTAGGACACCATTAAAAAAAAAAGGTCCCTCTATCTGATTGCCTGTTTCCCACTTATCAGTGAAAAGTTGCTTTCTAGAAACAACAGCTGCAATTTGTACTGTGACGCATATTCAAAAGAAAATAAACATTTTGTCAAACACTAATTGCAATTATTATGCTCAACATAAAATGGGAACGCTCACAGACTCATTAATAAAGTATGCCGCAGTTTATGATGTGAAGCAGTGTGCTTGGCCAATCATTTCTAATCAAGCTCGCTCTGTTTGTGTTACGATGCTGATAAACTGCTTTTTGTCCTGAAAAAAAAAAAGCCAAGAAAAATTGACTGCATAAAAAAGGCTTTGCAATCATTTCTCGCTGTGTTTTTATTCTGCATGTGACAAATCAGTTAACACGTGTTTTTATAAGACAATCCATGACCTGTGCGTTAGTAAGCGCATGTCTGGCACATGTTGGAGTGTGTGTAAGGAAAGGAGGGGCTGTCTGCAAGCATCAATGCTGTAACTGTTAAAAAATAATGTCTGCATGTATGTTACTAAAGAGAATGAGTGAAACCCGTCATTTCTTTTGCTCTGTTTGCTTTCTTTTCCTCTTGTGCTTAAGTGATTATTTAAATGTGTAATGTTTGCTTTGCCATTTTAACTGCGTCAGCTATGGTGTATTATATTTTATTCTAACTTTAAGTAAGGAAGAAAGTACACCTCTTTTATGGCAGCGTTCAGTCAAGATGCCAAAGCTCAGAAGTGCTGACGGCAAACCTTCAGTTGTAATCCCACATCATGTTTGGATCAATCATTCATCTTTTTCAGCTGCCAGAGGCCAAAGTGTTAGAGGTGAGGACCGCAAGCATATATCGTTATTCGACCTTCATCAACCAAAGCGACCGTGAAATTTGGACAAGGTGCAGCATCGAGATAACTTGGCAGCTGCAAATTTTTTCCCAAAATGTGGTATGTGATATCGAATTAAACCTTCCATTTTCATTTAGGTCAACAGAAGCATCAGAGGAAAGTTATTGTATTTTTATTATAAAAGTATCCTATAAATCTTATGTTTATGCTGAAATTAAGGAGAATAGCGTTCTAGAAAAAAAGCTTTAACTGTTTTAAATAAGTTCAATTATAAAGCTAAGAATTATTACATATAAAAGTTGCTATGAGAACATTGTTGTCATGGTCCTTCAGTCCTCTCTGGCTGTCTGCTCCAGGTTTGCTTTCTTTGTCTGTCTCCTTTAGTTTTCTCTCTCTCCTCTCTTCTCTATCTGTGCTCGTTTGTTTGTGTCTGTGTTCATAGGCAGGTGGTTCCCACCTAAGGCCGAACGCAACTGCAATAATCAACCACCTGTTCCAGATGAGCTCATTCTGACTGTGTATTTCCTCTGCATAGATCCCTGGATTTCCCTCCGTGGTGTGTGGTGAACCAAAACCCCGAGTTTGAGAGAGAGAGAGAGTTTTACCTGTAAATATAGGATGAGTGGATTCCCTCCCTTGACCCCTTGGAGCATTATTCCCTTTTTGCATTGTGTCTGCAAATATATTTATTCACTGTAAATAAACAGTGAATCTTCCAATCTCCCCATTAACCTTGACAACTGTCACGTTAGTGTATCATTATACAAATAGTAATATGTGACTAAATAACACAATCCATGAGTACTTAGCTTATTTGTCTGGTTAATTGTGGCTAACTGTCAATGTGTTTTCTGAAATGTCAACTTCAATTCTTGTACTGAGAGAAAGTTTTGCACACCTGTAACAAATGCTGAAAAAGGTCATTATGATTTAATCAGTGATCTTCTAGATGCAGCTGTAATTTGGCACGTAAGGAGGATTTAAGAGTGCATGTGTTAAAGTTGACAAATTAAAGGAAAACCACTAAGTGCCTGCCAAAGCAGTTTCAGCGTGCAACGGTGCTTATACTACATGCCTTTTGAGCTCTACTTAAGGGATGGAATACCATCAAAAACAATTCTCTTATGTTTTACAGATACTGGAATCAATTGCACTGTCTGGCACATTGGTCCAACATCACTCTTTCATACAGGCTGCCAAAGCCACATCATCTAATTTGCACATTTTCCTAAACCTTTGGGTTACCCTTGAGTGAAAGGGGTGATTGTCATGTTGGTAAAGGACATTTCTATTATGATAGAAATATTTCATCACAGAAAAGGGGGATTGTCTAAAACACTTTGATGTGCAGTAAACCTTTTTTCTGAGGGGACAAGTGTACCCAAAACATACCAGCAAAATCCCTCCCCAAAGCAAAACAAAGCCATTGGATCATTTCCCTGCTGAGCTTGTGTGTAAGTGTTGTTTAGGTTGTCAAATTTGCTAATCCTCTGTACCTGTTGGCTTTTAAGTTTTTGTTTATTGCTCTTACATTTTAAAACTCAGGGCGTCAGGCTGGCTTTGCTGAATCGCACATCATCTGCCAACCATAACCCGATGAAGAGCAGAGGAAATATTAAAAGACATCAGGTGTTCATATCATTTGGAAAACTCACTTTTGAAAACAAGGAGATTTCTTTAAGGCAGGTGAAATTCAGAGGTGGTTAAACTGTTTTGTAAGCTCTGGGTGAAAGAGTAGCTTAAATTGTATTTTCCTTTTAACGGAAACTACTCTTACTTAAAACATTTCTCTTATAAAGATGCCATTTGACAACCTCCCGCTGTACCCTTAAAGCCGTGCTTCGGTGACCATTACAATACGTTCTGGGTTTCACTAACTCTCACTAACTTCTGATGTGCAGCCGGTTATTTTGTTTTGGAAGCAGGCCTGAAAAATGACAGAAATCCTGTAGTTCAGAAAAGAGAAACAAGGGTTACCCCTGGTGGGCATCCAAGCAGAAAATAATTAATGTAATTCCATCCACCTCTAGGAATTTACACCTTCCACTCTGGGATAACCAATTACAGAAACAATTACAGTCATCACTACTGAAGTTATTACAACAGAAACATGTTTCTTCATATTTATTTACATTTAGGGCATGCCAGGGTCTTGTGTTCGGTTGCTGTGTGTGGTTAAGTATAAACACAGACATCATGCATGACTTATTGCTTTGCTGAGTTTTTTCCATTTAACAAATGAGCCCTGCCTGAAAGGGACCCCGGGGATCTCTCACCTCATGCTCACCACTTCCAGTAACCCTGGAAATGAGAGCTTTACATTTTCACACTTTGCAGGCACTCATCATGAAATCCCTCTGACCTCACACTTAACCTTTCACCACTCAAACTGATCATTTCAGCTTCTACCCTAACCTTTCACTCAGACCCCCACAAGCATCCAACATTTTACCAATATGTTTAAGACACTGGCCCTTTCTATTAAGTAATGTTGCTATAGCAACTGGCCTGAGCAAAGATGACCCCCTGATGATGTCAGGGTCGCAAGGTGGTTTCCTTGCATTTACACGCATGTCTCACCTCACAGTGAGGGTTGAAATGGAGCCTTGACCCTGCTGACGGTGCTTCTGTGTGGTCGGACCGGGTCACAGGTTCAGCTCGAAGTTGCGAAAGGTCGGACACGAATGGCGTCGGTGTCAGTGTTATACATACTGGCACTGGAGTATACAGGCACTGGAAACTCCTCTATCATCATTAAATTCTGTTTTCAACATCAATTTTAGCTTCTAAGAGGTTTTTGGTGTTTATTGATTTAAAAACGAAATATTAAGTTCGCCTTGTTTTCTGTTATTTAATTCAAAGTCCATCTGTTCTCACTCGGAGCTCGTTAGTGCATCCCGTTATGGAATCAGACTAGCTGAGTACATTCTTCCTGTGTGTCCTCACACATGAGTCTGCTGTGATTTATGTACATGACAGGTGCTTAACAAATATACACTCAGGACGAGCTGTAGCCATCATTCCCATAAAGTCAAAGTCGTAGTCATAAACCTTTGCTCCCCTTTCATTTGGACAAAGTTTTTTGTGGATGCCAGAATAAACGAGTTCTACATTTCTGTCATTGAATATGCCTATTCTCATAACACCAAAGAGAGTTACTTTTCCTAAGCAATCATTTCAGTTCATGTTTTGGGAATTAAAAGTCTGGCCAACATCCACAGCACGCAGAGAGAATTGAGTTGAACTGCACCCCATTGGCCACATTATGTTTGACTAGTTTTTTCTGATATACTGATAAAGTTAAGAAATCTTTCTCATTATGATGCTTGACTCCAGACTTGCTACCTCACAAAATGTCATGTTTCTCTAGCGTGTACGCATATGTGTAAAAGTATAAGCATGCAAACTTTGGAGCAGCTGATGCAATCTTCTTGGGCTGTCCTTGATTGGGGCCTCCTCTCATTGGTACCATTGGGCAACCAGCTGTGGTTAGCAAAACGCAGCAGCATGGAAGCACTTAAAGCTAAGGGATGGCCCTCACCCTGACCGCCCCACGTACTTATGAAATACAGCCATGTGTAAGAGTGGCAGGGTGATGACTTTTCTTTTGATATTCAGTATGAGGGCAGTAGGCATGACTAATAACACGGTGTTTATAGTGTGTAGTATATAATTATATGATAAACATCACTCTGCTCTCTTAACCTGGATCTTGAACTTAATCTTCCAATTTATTAGCTGTCTTTAGACTGAGCTCACAACTGTAAAAGCAAACCACAGGATAGCACATGGAGCACAAGTTGTCTCTTTTTACTGCCTTCAGGACAAGAACACACCATTCAGTTTCTTCCAAAGTCATTTTATCTTCTGAAATCTCAAACTTTGGCACACAGGTATCCATCCAAATCCTTGATGATAAGTCAAACAGAAGCTGAACTTTCTCTTGGTTGGATTCCAGTTGCTCTTAAATGCAGAAATATGAAACTAATGCCGGTCTGTGTCTGTTAAAGTCAGTTAGTGGTCTTGACCCACACACAGGGGACAGACAAACTTGTATAAATAGTGTACTTCAGTATGAAGTAGTCATTTGTGTGGTGCATGCTAATTGGATGGATTTGTACTCACTGTATGTGTCCATTGTATCACTGTTTGCCTAAAAGACCTTTTTTTAAATATTTAATTTTATTTTGAGTTTTGTTTTATTTTGATGTTATACCTCAGAAAGGCTACAACCTGACAGGAGCCACAAATACAGGAAACAAATAATCAAAACTAAAATTCTTAACAAAACTTGGCATGGCATTGAAGCTGGTATATATATATTTTTTTTTTTAGATATATCATACAGTATCTTTAAGAACCTTCACCCCCATCCATTCCCTTAATCCTTCACATATGTACATATAAACATATTTATCTTTAAACCTAAACGCACATATTTTGGAAGGGGAAAGGAAGTTCTTCAATAACATTCATGCCTGTTTTCCCGGGATGTCAAACTTACTTTATATCATAGACCACATACAGTCCCCTTTGATCTCAAGTGGGCCAAACAAGTGTCACTGTAAAGATGTTTAACTACACATTCAACCCCATTTAATATATATATATGAAAGCAAATATTATAAAGAAAAATCTATCTTTAAAGAAATGCTGCTATGCTGCTCTAGTAAATGAAGGAAATCTGTCAGAATGAATAAATAAATGTGTAAAATTACTAGTAATTACAAACACGGGACAGTAATTCACATTAATAATAACAGTTTACTAACAAAACAAACTCTCTTTGGAGTAATTTGGGATTGAAAAAATTGAAATTTACACCAGATAGTGACAAAACAGGATTACTTTGGTGTAGTATGAATGACAATGAGGGAGGTCAGGCAAACCTGTGAATGCCATGAAAGTAAAAAGTCTGAAGTTGGTTCCCTCCATCCCATTTTCCAGAGCTGTCTTGTAGACTTGGCTGCCTTCTCTGCCATGATGAATCAGGCAGCTGTCTGTTACACAAACAACAGTTAAAAAGCTAAGCTGTCATTGGGGCATTAATAATGCTGAAACATTAGTTCAGTTATATCTCCAACACTGGTCTGGCTACAAATGATGATGGTGTACATGTACACAGCATGATGTACATTCAGTTATACATTTGATATTCAATACAGAGGAGTCTCTGTGTAACCATTACCTGCATATTTATCTTATTTAGTGACACAAGCTTTCGTGA